GGTCTGACCTATCTCAGGTCCCGTACACATCCTTGAAATTATTCTTACCATCTGACCCTGCATGAATTTAGCCATGATTGAGATCTTTAGACTGATAGAACTTGCCCAGGCGGTGTTTAAATGTGTCTAGGGAGGGACTTCCTACAACTTTGTTTGTCAGCCCCATTTCAATGGTTCACTTCTCTTTGAGTAAATGACATCTGTCGCTTCATAGACCTTCTCCTGCCTCTTGTTAAATGAAACTGGTTTCCTCTAGGTCTCGGCTATGGTGACAAAGAAGTGTTTACCTTCTCGCGAAGGAAGGTATGGAGGAACATGGTCTCGAACTACGCTATGGTATGCGAACCATGGTGCTATGAATGGATGCGTGGGAAAATCTTTGCCATGGTCAACCTGGAGGGGCGGAAAATATTTGTTTTCACAGATGCGTCTTAGGGGATAGAGCTAAGGGGCCCATATCAGTAGAACATAAAGACCTAGAATGAAACTGTGCATGCCATCCGTCACTTCTGCGCGGTAAACACCACGTCAAAAGCTATGTAAGAGACGAGTCCAGACACGGCAAAGGGAGTCGGACTGTAGTGCACGGAGACCGTGGTCACCACCAGCGAGCGGTCAGTTGACGGCTGCGGTAGTCACGCTGCAATTATGTGTTTTTACTCCCCTTCTTTGGAAAACCGGTTATATGCGTGGCACCTGTGCTTATATCGCATATGATAAGACCTCTTTAAGGACACAGGTCTGGAAAAGACAGATTAAGAGACAGATTGGACGAGATGGATAAAGCGATTGGAATAAAAGTTTTCATGTGACAAAATGTTGTGAACTAATCGCATTATAGGTAAGAGTCACTGTCATCTCGATCGCAAATTGTACGTCTTCAGGCGTAAAAAGGCTAAGACTACGCCATTATCAATACCCGTTTGTACTTCGACAGTTATTGCGCATTTGTACCCTAATAACTGGGGCTATATTGACAGTTGGGTGAGGTTGGTGCGATAAAAGGCTCACGGCTTCCCCTCCGTTCCATTGATCATTAACATCAATTAAGAAGCACGGCTTGGGAAAAAAATAAGCGCACCTCAGCCTCACAATACCAGCCAAGCAAAGTATCTCTCTATCTTTATCAAAATGAGTCGCCTAATTAATCAATCAAATCATACCAAGTTTTGAACATGGGATTTATCGGTCAAAGGCTGTTCAGTGATAGTTTCACAACGTTGTTCCATTTCTGCAGCCTGCATTCATACGTGTTATGTCTGCGATTAGTTTTCTGTCACGTGGCTGTTGCTATAAAGATCAAAAGATGATTTTTCATAGGTATGTTGCGTTTGCCACCACACTTAGATTTTTGGAAGGTTTTGAAGCTTAATGAACAGCGACAAACGCATTACTTTCATTATTTTTTTCGTACCCTAGAAAGTTGCCAAGTCTAGCCTACGAACCGGCCAAAGCCTGTAATTTCTTTCGGGTCAAATCTAAGCGAATTGGTGGGTTGAAAAGTTGCGTCTTTACTCCACATGATATGGTTTACAGCTTTCCTCTCATCGGCCCTCATCTCTTCACTTTGTCAACCGCTCCATCATTAAGTCCTTATTGGCAGAGCCTGCAAAATACCTCGTGTAACGTCAGTTCACGAATCCGGTGATCATTCACATGCAAGCCGTTTTCGATCTATATCGATCCTGCCGGTCA